CGAGACCACGCCTACCGAGCATCAGGGCTCATCCGGCGAACCTGCTCGGAAGCAGAGCAACGGGAGCACAGCCTTCGGTTGAGGCCAGCCACGTCCGATTCCGAGATCTGCGAAACCCGCCGACGATAGGTGTTGTACCAGCGGGACATCCATAGCGTCCCGGAGGTACAAAGAATACGAATCTGCCCCAGACAACGGGACCAACAGAGGTGACCGTCCCGTTTCCCGAGGCCTAAAACAGAACCCCGTCCTTCGCTTACCGACTTGCATTCATATCCCTGAAACTTGACACAGGAGATCTCAGTTCCGACTTGGGACTCCACCCCCATTTTCCTAAAATCCTTGGCACACCCCTTTTTCGCACTTCCAGGCCCACCATCACTCCAATCAGGAAGTCGCGTTGGGCGTGAGGTTGAGTGTCACACGAGTGTAGAAGAAGGACGCTTATGCAAGTTGCGGATGACGTCCCCGACTACGTGGCAATGTCGGAGGCTGTCATTGAGTTGTGCTACACGTTGGGTTGCGGCGTCATTCCAAAAGCGACACTAAGGTGGTGGATCAAACGCAGGACGGGGGGGACGTAAGAAGACCTTCGACAATGCGAGGACGCCACGGATGACTGCTTCAACGAGAAGCAGCACAGCTTCGAAGAGCAGCAGAGGGACCACCAGAGGCATCACAGCGACATGGAGCAGCAGAGGGAGCGTGCGGTTCTGGTCGGCCATGAACTTCATGGTGGAGAGGGCAGCAATGACATGTCTGTTGTTGGACATCTAGCACACGATGGCGGAGAAGGCAAGAGTCTTGTCGGACGTGCAGCACGTGACGACATGCGTGGGAATACAACACTCGTGTAGAAACCCATTCTGCGGATGGACTGAAGGCGCTGCCGGGAAGAGAATATTTTCCCGAACGTTGCTGACATTCCTCGAGCACGGGAGATCGCGATGCCGACCGAAAACGACGATGTCACCCGATGGAGGCCCACCGCCAACAATAGTCGTTGGGGGACTACGCAGACGTTGGAGGGCGGGGATGTCCGTGCTAACGTCGTTGGACCACAGCTGGACCACCGAAGAACCGAAAATCTCCAGCGGCGAAGAGAAGAACCGAAAATCGCCGTCGACGCATGTCTTCGCCGCTCCGTGAATCACGGTTCCTTGAGCTCCAAGGGAGGTCATACGGAAATTTTGGCTGAGGCCACAAGGACGCCACAAGGAATTTTCCTTGTGGTTTTTCCACATTTCTTTTTCAATTTCGTCCCCAAGGACAGGTGGAAGGAGCACGTCCATGTGGATTTCACGTCCCCAAGGAGTGTCTAACGATGCTCTATGATGAGGATGCAATCCAGCTGTCTTCTTTAAATTTACGGTTTATAACCTCCTCCCTCACCGAGTGCTTTTTCTATTTCTCTTTGTCGTTTTGTTTTTTCCAGTTGGCTATTGTCTCATGATCCTTCCTCCATTGAAGCAGGTGGTAGCGGCTGCGAACCTGGCCGATGATGCTTCGTTCGCAAATGTGAAAATCACCTACAAACTCAACCTACAGAAATGCAGAAACTACCTTTTTCTTTTTGTTTTTTGGAAAAGAGCAACGGCCTTGTGATCGGCCCTAGGTAATTCCGAAATATCATATATGTTATGTTGTTAATTATCTGCTTCTCGCTGCATTTTGATTCAAAATTGGGTCCCTCTCTATGGGCCTTGCTACACTACTCCCACATGCGCAAAAGACAAAAAAGATGGCACTGTATTTTTCCACGTTCTAGCGGAAGCTTCATTCTCATTTTGCACATTTGGAGGGTACTGCAGGAGGCCCTATATCAACCGTTCATGGGTGCATGAAATGAGCTAGGCCCTTTTTTTTCTTTTTTAAAGTTTTTTTTTTTTTTTAAATGTATTGAATTCCTGTGTTTATTGCGAAAAGCAAGCATTAGCCAGCTTCGCTTTTGACGGGACCAAAGGGAACCGGATCACTTCC